AGTCTGCATCTTTGCTGGGCGCCACCTCCATGGGCCAGCTGCAGGTGCTCCGGCCTTTCTCGCTGCCTCCTCTGTCTCCTCCAAGACTCCCACAGCTGGATGATGGAGGAGTGTTTCCACGAAAGACCTGGACACCCCCCCCCTTCTTGGAATTAAAAGAATCGTACCGCAGTGATATATGTGCACCCATGTTCATAGCAGCACAGTTTGTAATAGCTAAAACTTGGAAACAACCCAATTGCCCATCAACTGGAGACCTGATAAAGAAATTGTGGATTTTTTATAAAATGGAGTACTGCTTATCCATAAAAAATGAGAAATTAGAGACATTGATATCTAAATGGGCACGCATTGAGGCGATAATCTTAAGTGAAATAAATAGGACACACATGTGTAAATATCCAATAGTTTCTCTAGTGTGAGAAACTGAAAGTTTAAGTAAGGACTAAAAGGTATAATAGATACTGCGAAATAGGAAGAAAGGGGGCAAAGGGGAAGGGGAAGTGGGGGGTGGGGGAAAGGAAAGAAGGGAATGGAATTATTACGAGAAAATGGAAACAAAGTCTTTGTAAATAGGGAGGAATGGAGGGCAGGGGAACGGGGAAAAATAAGAACCAAGAGAGATTATGTAAAAGTGCAAATTTCCAATGATGAATGTCATTATCTTGTATACCTAAAATGTACCAATAAAGTAAAATTTAAAAAAAATAAAATAAATGTAGTACACTACAGAAAAGAGAAGGATAAAGATCACATGATCATCTCAATAGGTGTAGGAAAGGTCTATGACAAAATCCAACATTCATTCATAATTCAAAATGAAAAAATAGGCATTAAATGATCTTATATTGAACCAACAAATGCAGTTTATAACAAACCCACTGTCAGCATCCAGCTAGATGGGGAAAAAGTGAAAACTTCTCCCTCAAATCAGCAATAGGACAGGCTATCCATTCTCCCGCTCCTGTTCAGTATAGGACTCAAAACTACACCCATTGGTCAGAGTGGGAGGGTATGTGTATAGGAAAGAAGTCAGATTATCATTATTTGCAGATGACATGCTTCTTTACAGAAAAGACCCCAAGCCACCAAAAGAAATTCAAGAAAGTTACAGTACACAAAATCAATCCACAAAAATCAATGTAGATAATGTACACCAACAATGGACCCAGTGAGAAAGAAATTACATTCACAGTGGCTTCAAAAAACTAAATACTTAATAATTAACATGTGCAAGAAAGTAAAAGTTCTCTATAATGAAAACAATGTATAATAATAAATAATGTGAGGGCCGGGGATTTAGCTCAGTGGTTCCGCAGCCTGCCTCACAAGTGCAAGGCCCTGAGTTTGATCTCCAGTACAAAAAATAAATAAATGAATAATATGAAATAGGAAGAAAAGTTCTAAAGAGGAAGGGGAACTGGGGGAAGGAAAGAAGGGAAAGAAAAATTATAAGAGAAGAAGGAAAAATGGAAACAAAGATTTTTGTAAATAGGGAGGGGTGGAGGGATGGAAGGGAGGGAAGGGGAATGCGGAAAAATGAAGAACCAAGATACATCATGTACAGGTACAAATTCCCAATGATGAGTGTGATCATAATGTACGCCTAAAATGTACCAATAAACTAAATTTAAAAAAGAAAGTGAAGATGACATTGAAAATTGGAAAACATGGTCCTTTCCTGAGCAAGCAAACTAATATCTCATAGTGGTCATATTACTAAAAATGATACATAGATGTTATACAATTCTGATGAAAATACCAAAAGCTTTCTTCACAGAATAAAAAAGTCCTAATATTTCATATTTCTATTCAGTTCTGAGTGTGATTAGAAAATGTTGATACATACTTCTTTAAATATTTCCTTGGTTTTATCATGCCTGTTGATTCCTTTTTCTGCAATTTCATTAAAATGAAAAAAGTTCATGTTGTTAAGAGGGTAAAAAGCCCTTGTTAGAATTATTATTATTTACTAAATCCTAGTTTTATCCTGCTCTGAAAGATCAAGAGTAATATCAAAAACAATTATGGACAGCTTAATTCCTGAGACAGATTTATGTTTAAAACACAGGTAGATTAAAACTCTATTGCACTTTATTTTTTTAATGAGATCTAAGGGTTTAATGCAGTAATACAGCTTGTGTTGATCATGTATGAGGTCGTTGGTTCAATGCTAGCTCCACCAAAAATAAAAATCATTAAGTTCTACTGAAATATATAGATTTTGCTAATAAATTAAAACATTTTGGGAGCCTTCTGCATTGACCACATAAGCATGAACATTGTCTATATTGTGGTTATTAGAGAAAAAGGGTCAACATACAAAAGCTAGAAATTCTCCTTCAGAAAAGCTACAGGACTCTGTGGAAGCCAACAGTCCTTAACTTTAGGATTTTTTTCTTTATAACTGTGTGTAGTGATGATATTATCTCCTCCAAATCACATGAAGATTCTCACAGTTATTAACTTGGATAGGATTTTGAACCACTGGAATAAATACTGATACAGAAAAAATATAACTTTATTTGATGACTGAAATAAAATCTCCTTTATACTTCTGTAATTTAAAAAAAAATAAAGAAATTATCTATTGAGCAGGAAAAATATTTCACTAGTCATTCCTTGGAGAGATGTGTAATATCCAGACTACAAAAACACTTAAAATTTGTAAAAAAAGAGTAAAAGATCGAATTAAAAATGGGCAAATGAAATTAATAGAAGCTTCTTGAAAGACAGAGTACAGTCAATATGTATAGGGAAAATAGTCAGCATTTTTGGACATTAGAGAAATGCAAATCAAAACAACACAGATTCCATCTTTTTCCAGAAAGAATAGCAACCTAAAGAACACAC